TTGATAAAAATGTGTACATTTAATGCTTTAATGAATTTAATACTAATATAATAAAGCTTATAATTACTTCACTATTAGTGAACTACACGTACAATAATTTTGGCATTTTTATCCATTAATTTAACAAATATTTTAAATCTATAATTAGGTTAAACTCTGATTTAATTAAACTGCATAATTAGAGTACTAATAAAAATTTACAATGTATTTGTAATTTGAATTACATTTTTGGGCACATAAATAAAATCTTAAAACTTTATTGTTATTTGGTAAATTTAATTAGTTTTATAAATTAACAACCGAGATATGAAATATAGTAACCATTATAATCTTATCTTATAAGTTGTTAAGTACATTACTTGTAAATTATATACAATACAGCATATCTATGCGAGCATTTGCTAAATTATAGACATTTTATTAATTAAGTTTTAATGTTAATTATTGTTATTTTTAAAATTCATTTCATTCATTTATTTGATACTAATTATAAATTTTATTTTGTACATTAATGTTTTAATAAATTTTACCATAAATATTATCATTTATCAAAATGAATTAAAATTAGAGGTAAATATAACATAATTAATAATTTATATAAATTTCAAAACAATTAATTAATCAAAAAATTAATATTTTAGTCAAACCAATAATGGAAAGAAAAGACAGTATCGATAGATATGGCGATGATTTGTGTCAAATAATATTGAGTTATTTACCACTCGAAGACCGGTTCCGATGCGAATGTGTGTCCAAACAATGGCAAAGATTAATATTTAACACACAAAACGAGCTAACGTTACAAACAGATATGGTATTGAAATGCAAAAAGCATCATGGTCAAAAATATCGACGAGTATTTGGCACAATGTTTAGCAAATTGCCAAACATTCACTCTCTCCGCATGTTTTTCATAAACCAAAAGTTTGATAAATGTTTTTTACATCTAATCTCTCAACACTTCCAGCGGATAATCGACATCAATATGTCTGTCGAGGGTATGATTGTCGGCAAACCTTTAACAACGTTTTTTCAAACCCTTTGTCCACAATTGAAAGCATTTAACTTTCATATCAACCGCAATTATGGGTACCACAAGACTATCAATGAAAATCTAATGCAATGCAAACATTTAGAGGAAATTAAATTGTTTAAGTTTTATATCTATAGAAACAGTTTAGGTGTGAATAATACACCACTTTTGCCGCTAGTATTTGATGAGAGAAACGATATATTATTCCCGAAACTAAATAAATTTCGCTTTGAATACACCGACGATTTTAGTGACAATTTTGTCCGTTTTGCTGGTAATTACCAAAATTCATTAAAATCGGTTAATATTGATATGTATTGTATGTCTAATGTATTGGATGACAGGAATAGACAATCATTGACTGCATTGATGAAAGGATTGTCACAAATGCCACAATTGATTGATATCAAGTTAACACAAATACATGTCAACGATTGCAATAATGATATACTTTTAAATGGATTGAAACAAATTGGTCTAAACTCAACAAAATTGTCGTCACTATCGCTACAATTCCGGCACAAAACCGGCGATCTATTGACACAAACCATACAAATAGTGAACGAAACTTATTGGCGATTAAAACGATTAGAAATCAGTGCTTATTTTCCTAATAAAGAGTTTGTATTACCGGACAAAGCGTTGGATAAATGCAATCGTTTAACGCATTTAAAACTGGATTCAGTGATAAAATGGTTAAACTATTCAAACGATACATTTTTTGCTCAAATTGGGAAAAATATGCCTAAATTACAATATATTGACATTAGTTATTACGCAAACAATAATATAACCGACGACATACTGGTCTTACTGTCAAAATTGTCCAAAATTAAAGTCATAAAACTTAATAACTATTTTTATACTTCTAGAGATATATTGCCCGCACCAAACATACAACATATTACCGATAATTGTATTAAAATAATTTCAATTGAAATTAAAAACACAAAATATCTCAATTTATAACTTTATTAATAAAATTACTTTCTATGAGTTTATAACAATTCTACCAATCAATCACATTATTGTTTGTGAATAATTACATTTCACAAAATTATTTACTTATTCTGTAGATTCTGTAGACTCTAAACTAGACTTTAGCTTAGAGAACTTATCCATTATCTCAATTCCTTCAATATATTGTTGTTTCAAATTCTGTAATTCAATTCTAATGGCTTTGTTTGGATCATCGCCTATGATATCATCAATGGATGGGAACTGTTTGCGAATCTGTACCTGAAGTTTAGTGCCAATGTATTTACACGTAGAGTCTATTAACTCGTATTGACATAGTTTTGGCAAACGATCCCTAAATTATATCAATTATAAGAAACAAAAATTAATTGAATAATGTATTTAAACACTTTATGACATACTTGAAAGTCTTCTTCATTATAACAATGTATGCATTGACTAATCTCTTCACTTCGTCCACTTGTGTGGCCATATGTTCGGGAAAAGCCATGTCTTCATCGCCGGCACCTATACTGAGGTCCGATTGCGAATTAACCTTCAAAGACATGTTAGACACCGACTCATTGTCGCCGTTAGAGATCGTGGTTTGATTGTCACCCGAACTCGGCTTAACCCCCGCCTCCTCTAACCATACGCTCCACTTTAAGGCCAACTCTTCCGTAGGGAATACTAACTCGACATCGTTTATCTTATTCAGCGATAGAGTAAGTTTCCTATTACTATAATATTTAAATAAAAATATATTCATATTATTTTTACAATAGATATAATATTTTTATAAAATGTTTACGTTTTTGATAAGACGATAATCACTGAGTGATCGGATTCTGTGCTCTTAAAGTGAGAACCACTCAAATTAATTGTACTCTTTTTGTCCTTAAGTGTGTCGTCTTTAAACCAGGAAAGAGTGTTTCCTTTCAGAACAAACCAATATTTAGTCTTCTTGTATGAAATCCAATCTGATTTTAAGGTCTGCTGAACCACTTGTGCCGACACTTTCAACTGGGCGTCAGCTATGGACGCAGTTTTTACTTCACTATTTGTAGGATATACAGTATAATACTTGTTAATTATAACGTAAATAAAAATGTGTGCTTTTTATGTTGCATTGTTAATGCTAAAAAAGTGTACCCGATCATTTTGAGAAAATCCTCGTGAATTGTATTCGTATAGCACATCTCTGTTTCGACAAAATGCTCGACACAATCCTTACATCTTTTATTAGATTTACGAATAGATTCAACCGTTAAATCCGTGAATATTTTCCTAATAGTAATGCATTTATTAATTAAAATATAAAAATAAAAACAAATTATTACAACTAACCTTATGTTTTGATGCGATTTTATCTTATCAGCGCATTTGTTGATTGTCGTAATAATCTCATCGGTTACCAAATCCACACAATCCAGTGCTGGTCTTCTGAAGTACTCTGCAATATCACCAAACAGTTAATCAGAAATAAATTTATAGCAAAAATAATTTCAATACCTATTTGTTTCTCAACACATGAGACAAAGGCAGTGTCGGGTACGAAAAGTCCCAAACGAGTACCGAAAGCGTTTTGAACGGCTGTCACGATCTCACGACTCAAGCGATTTTCATCAGCAAACAAGTCGTCCACTTCTTTGGCAAACGTGTCGTTCATCAGTAGATTAATCTTTGATCCGCCGCTCAATTCAGTCACATTCACTTTCCATACCTTTCCTCCNCGTCCACTTCTTTGGCAAACGTGTCGTTCATCAGTAGATTAATCTTTGATCCGCCGCTCAATTCAGTCACATTCACTTTCCATACCTTTCCTCCGACTGAACTCTCAAACAACTCGAGAAACTTACGGCTATTTTCAGAGAGAAGTCCCTCTTTGTCGTCATCTTCTAAGGGAATCTCCATTTTCTCTATTTTATCGTTAGTTTCGCGCAGTTTTGAGTCTAATTTAGTCTTCAAAGGCGGCAATTTTCGGGAGATATGGTTTGACAGCTCCTGTTGTAGATATTCCTGAAGGTATTTAATACCCAACCGTTTGGCCATTTCTGGCCCATAAGCCGGATGTTTGGCGAAGAACTGGTTTTCGTCGGCCAACGCTTTCGTAATGTCTTTATTTTCATTGATATCTTTTTGGGATCGATTAACGACACCAATAAAACCTCGTTTCAATCGGATATCGTGTTTGCCATTTAAAATATCTCTTGCATTAGTTCCGTTGTCCATTAGATCCAGTTTTGTCAGAACAGCAATGGTTCGATCACCGCTTGGATCAACTCTTTCGGCCAGTTTAAGGGCATCAGAAGTGGCCAAATCTGCAAATTTTGTTATTTATTGTAATTTTACATTTATGATAATAATTATTATGTAAGTTTTAAATCACACAAACCCTGATTGGCTGCAGTAACCGCTAGTATCAAACAATTATCTCTTTCAATGTACTCCAAAACCATATTTTCAATCAATACTTCAATATCTTTGGGTTGGTTCCCAACGGCCACTCTTGTCATTCCCGGCAGATCTACAAGAGTTAGATCCAACACATCCGGCGAATAGATCTTCAGATTAATCGGTTTTGATGATATTCCTCGGCTTTCCTTAACCTCTCTATCGGTTTCAGCTGTGATTTCATCGCGTATTTCTTTGAAACTCTCAAATCGTTTTCCCGGCGAATGAAGGAATTCTCCGAACGCTTACATTTTATACATGAATTAGTTTTAATTAAATCAATTTTAGACATTTTCTTACGTTTAGTGATATTTTTATCGCATATCAATTGTAGAACGAGTGGTCTTCGGGTGACAATACCCGACCCTCGGGGTAGAAAATCTCGGCCAACGATAGACTCTAAAACACTAGACTTTCCCGAAGACTGACCGCCGATAACAACGATTTGTGGCAAATCTAAAACAACATTCTCTCTGAGTTTGTCTTGAAGTTCATTCACTACTTGTATTAAATTAGCGGCAAATTCAGGCATTTTTGAGAAAATTTATATTGTAATTAAATTAAATACAAATAAATATTTAAAAGTATAGAACTCTCCAACACCTTTAATGTTTGGCTGTTAAATGAATAAAACAATTATTTCAATTAACATAATATCTAAAAACTTCTCAATTATATATACGGTTAAATAATCTCTTATTTTACAATAGATTGCATATCAAATTATGATACACTCAAACCTCTATTACTCAAACCCTTTTAGAATTGATGTGTAATGGGTATGCTGTATGAGAATTCAAATAATAGAGGTTGTAAGTTATGTAGTATTCAGTGTATTATTTAAAAATAACTTATCGCATACTTATATTTCCTGCGATGACTTTTACTTAATCTAATCTTATATAATAAATAAAACTTGAAATTGATTGTAAGCTCCAAACAAAACAATATAATAAATAATAAAACAATTGCATATTATTACCAAAACTGTATATCCGGTCGGGAAGAAAGTCAAACTCTAATAGCGTTAATGTACTGTAGATAAAGTGGTCAACTTTTTTCTCATATATTCACTTTAATTTCCCAAAAGGGAATTTGAGGAACAATTAGAATAGAAAGGAACTATTTATCTGGAAAGGGATTTTCATTGATTAAATTTCATTGTAAAGAATTTCTTTATATGCCCTTCATCTAAATTAATTTGATAAGTGCTAGATAATTTTGTACATGTTTATTAAATAATTTCCAGAAAGGGGTATGAATTCTCTCGTAAACAGATATTCGGCAAAAGGGAAGGGAACTGAAAATTATGCAAAAAGTTGCAAATATTGCAAATGCAAATGTCTATATTTGAAATTTAGAGATAATAGTTGGCGACTAAAACAAATTTATGAGAAGTAAAGGGTTGCCGAGCGATCATAAGTGGAGAGAGAGAGAGAGAGAGAGAGAATTATATGGTGTAAAGTCTAAAGTTTATACTCAAAACAATACATTTATTAACTATTAGATATTATATTATATTTTAAATCTCATTACAATATGCAGTTCTTTGTATATACCTGCACACTGTGTTGTGCATATCTTATCTGTAAAGTATAAGTGCTTATTAATTAATTTAATGCTAACATTAATCTATTAATACAAATGACAAACTGTTGGTTGAATACGAGCGCCATTAGTGGTGATGTGGGCGCCAACACATCCTATGATATAAAAATATTATGTAATATTATTCTTAATTTAATTATACCATAATAAATTTATAACTGTCATAACTGTTCTGAGACAATCCGACAAACGGTAGTCATATTACAGCAATATTTACAAATGCATTATTTTATTTTTAATTCAATAAAATGTAATTTTGGTTATCAAATGTTTATTAAAGAATAAAAAGTTTTGTTTCATTGAAAAATTATTGCAAACAGTATTTTTCATAATTAGAGAAACTTTAAAAAAACAAATAAGGTTTATATTAAAAATTTCGTTTCTAATATTGTTAATTAATAAAAGAGTAATTAATTATATTATTAACCATTTTTAAGGAATTTTATAAATCTTTTATTTTAAAGACTTTAGTTGAGTAAAGTTGTCCATTATGTCAATGCCTTCAATGTATTGTTGTTTCTGATTCTGTAATTCAATTCTCAAGTCTTTGTTGGGATCATCGCCTATAATATCATCAATGGATGGGAACTGTTGGCGAATCTGTACCTGAAGTTTAGTGCCAATGAATTTACACGTAGAGTCTATTAACTCGTATTGACATAGTTTTGGCAAACGATCCCTAAATTATATTAATTATAATAAACATAAATTAATTGAATAATGTATTTAAAAACTATATATGACTTACTTAAAAGTCTTCTTCAATATAACAATGTATGCATTGATTAATCTCTTCACTTCGTCCACTTGTGTGGCCATATGTTCGGGAAAAGCCATGTCTTCACATACAGTAGGGATACTAAGACTTGATTCTGAGTTACGGCTCGACGACATGTTATACACCGATTCATTGTCGTCGTTAGCCATCGACTGATTGTCACCTAAACAGGGCTTAACCCCCGCCTCCTCTAACCATTCCCTCCACTTTAACGCCACATCTCTTGAAGTGAATACTAACTCAAATTCATTGTTAAGACTAAAACCAATCATTTTTCTATTAAATTAAAAAATTGAATTATTTACACAACAAAATAAATGTGTTTTAAAACAATTACTTCTTCGATAAGATTAAAACCAATGAGAGATCGGATTCAATGCTCTTAAACTGAGAACCGTTTACATCTATTGAACCCTTTCTATCCTTTTGTGTCTCATCTTTAAACCACAAAAGAGTGTTTCCTTTGAGAACAAACCAAAAGTCATTCTTCTTGTATGAAATCCAATCCGACTTTAGGTTCTGTTGAACCACTTGTGCCGACACTTTCAACTGAACATCAGATATGCATTTCGACTTCACTTCCCTTTAATATTCATCAAACAAATATTGATATTAATATTTGATAACATTTACAATGTATTTATATTATATTATAAGTTACTTATACCCAATCATTTTAGTAAAATCTTCATGCTGTGTATTCGTATAGCATTTCTCTGTTTCGACAAAATGCTGGACATATTCCTTGCATTTCTTATTAGATTTGCCAATGAATTCAATCGTTAAATCCGAGAATATTTTCCTAAATAATTACTTTTTTGTTTAATAAAATATAAATAAATTTAAATAAGTTTAAAATTAACTTTAAATTTGGAAAGCAATGAATATTATCAATGCATTTGTTGATTGTGTTAATGATCTCATCGGTAACCAAATCCACAC